CTTAGTCTTGCTGTCCTCAGTCACTACAAACTGCTCTCTTGCCAGTGCTGGTTCCCCAAGGCTACTGCCATCAGTGGCATTACCCACAGGGCCCTCCCATCCTGTCACTCAATCAAGCCTCAGCCAGGCAAGCGTGGATGGGCCACACAGAACAAAGGCCTGCCCTGCCCTGATGGCTGGCAAGTGCATGTCCTTCCTGAGAATGCACGCCTAGTCACCTGGAACCAAATGAACATCAAATATGCACCAGCGGCTCTACTGGATAACAGATTTAAATTCTAGGGATGTCACTGCTCTGCCCAAGTGTCATTCACAGAAAATTGGTTTTAGATAGAATGTTTCCCCTATGGGTCATTTTGTTTTTCAAAATAGGCTGCCTGAATAAAGACGACAGTGACCGGTAAAATTCACTTAGCCTCACAATAGAATAATGTACTGTGGCAGTGAACAGGCGGTCAGTAGAATTTCCATTCACACCCTATCAAAGGACCAGTGCTATACATTATGCAAGAACACTGTCCTTCTCCTGACAGCCATTCTTAGCATGTGCTGCAGGTGTACAGTAAAACAACTACATTTCTTCTCTAACTTCTACAACCTGACAAGTAACTGTTTTCAAAATTGAGAAACAACACATTTCCATTTTGAGTATTTTTAATGAACACCTTTTAAAATGGATGTTCATTAGGCAAAATCCCTACTAGGTATATGTGACTTGACATCTCCTAATGAGAGCAGGACTACTTACTGATCCCCTCTACCACAAACTAGCAAGTGTTCTTTGACATTTGTAAGCCAACTCTTTTCTATTTTCTTTGGGCTTAACGCATTGCACCTTACACTGGATACTGAAACTTCTATCAGTCAGTAACCCTTGGCGTCCTCATTCCACTCAAGAGGAGGAGTAGAAAGGGGCATACAGCAAGGGTTAGGGATGTGGGCAAGGAAGCTGTCTGTGTGCCTGGATAATCCACGTTAACCATTTCCCACAGCACCTGGCTCAGTCACTGCTCAATCAGTTTCCGGTTTTTACTCCTATCTTGCATGTGTCCCACACTCCTGCTCAGTGAGCCTGCCTGCTGTTCCATGAACACAGTGAGCCTTTCCCCCTCTACTTTGTTCCTCCTTACTTGGGTCTGGAACACCTGATCACTTACTCAGCCCTGATACAAGTCTCTTCCCCATCAGGAGGCACCTCATTCTGATCCTGTCAGCCAATCAGGACTCACGCCCTTTGGTGTGCATTCACACCTCGCTTTGTCTGCAGGTATTATGTTACAATGATGCATGACCTTTCGTCTTCACGGGTATGGGCCATGTACTAACTAGTCCATCTATTTTCCACAGTCCTTATCAAGCAGCAAGGAGTGGTATGCAGGGTGCACCAGTTGTGCTGACTTGTAGTACATAATACTCCATTTTTAATAGGAGGGCACTCATAGGAGGTTTGCAAAAATTAAAGCCGACTAGCAAGTGATCACTTTATAACACCATCAATAACAGCTAAGATTCCTTGACTCTTTTTTCAAGCACCCAATGTTGTTCTCGGTGCTATACATTTCTCAACTCCTGAAAACAAGTCATGACACAATCTCTCATTCCTCACACAAAAAAATAGGATATAGTCAGTTTTCAATGATTGTTGGAGATAACACTCTGATATAATTTAAAAGTACCTGAATTAGCCATACAATTTAAAAGTTCATGGACTAGATAGTGACATTCCTAGCACTTCACAATTTTCCTTTAAGGATAAAAGTAATTCAAGACAAGAAAAGGTAAAAAAAGTAAAGAAAACATGCAATTCTTAAAAAGGCAGTGTTATGCAGGTTTGTGGCCGTGCTCAGCTTGGGCAAGGGGTATGAGGACAGCAAATGGCCCAAGTTTGTGGGGCTTAGTTGCCTTGAACATAAGTCAGGTCAATGATTGGAGCAGATGCTCAAGGACACTGTGAGGATTAAATCAGATAATGCCAGGAAAGTGATCAGAATGTAGTAATAGTGCAATGCACACCTATGCAGTCTGCTTCTACCCTACAGATGCTCTCATAGTAACAGAGACATGACAATAAGGCAGGTAAACTAAATCCAAAGGTGAAACACATTTTCTGAGTCCCAATAAATAGTAGACAGTATGAAACCTCTGCCAACTGAGTTATATCTTCTCATTTCTCATAACAATAGAATTAAAGTGGCCATTCAAAAATAGCACAAACTCCCAAAAAGACATCAAGAGAAATAGGAATGCTGGTAAGCCACAGAGCATACATTCATGTCTTAAAATAAGTTTCTTCAGGAGTCAGAATGCTTCCTTCTACTCCTACATGCATGAGTCAAATGACAAGCAAGTGACTGGATGTTTGTACAGTGTTTTCTTGTACACCTTACAAAAACAAGTTTTGCTTAGGTTCATTTTTGCTTTATGTACTTGCAAAGAGAGAATCAAGCACAAAGGATCTGAAAGACAAATTACCATAATATAGTAAACAAATTTGGGTTTTATTTTTCCAGGCATATTTGTGCTAGCAGTTTAATAGGGGTAGAAAAGATAATACAGTGAGATTTAAAATATTCTTTTAGCAAGTTCAGTTTCCTGGTATAACACTGAGAATCTAATACAAGGACATACAGAAAGGCTGAAGTTAAAAACAAAAACAGCTGGAAAACAGAAGTGCTTTGTAATGATTTGTAGGCTATACACTGCATTTGTCTTTCTTCTTCTTCTTTCTTTTTTTTTTTTTTTTTTTTTTTTTTTTGGTTTGGTTTTTCAAGACAGGGTTTCTCTGTGCAACAGCTCTGGCTGTCCTGGAACTCACAGGGATCCTCACGCTTCTGCCTCCAGAGAGCTGGGATTAAAGGCATGCACCACCACTGCCCAGTGCATTACTTTTTAAAGTACATATTTCTAAAAGCACCTAAAGAACCTAATTCTCAAAGAGTGGCTCCAAGGCATTCACAACTCCCATGTTCAGGAAGTGCCAGCAGGGCTCCAGCCTGGGAGGCGAGGCATGGGGACAAGTAAGGCTGAAGCAAGAGTAGAACAGTAAGTACAGATATGGGCAGCTCACCACACAGAATGCCATGCTTTCATTGCTAGATTCCACTGCCTGGCAAAAATGGCTGCCTAACAGTGAAACTCCATTTTATGAGATAACATATTTAAGACACCTGTTTTAGAATAAAATCAGGGAGATCCACTGATGGCCATATTATAATGTTTAACTAAAGAAAACAATTACCATATATTAGAATTAATAATTTATGCAGGAAGAAATATTTTAGTAACCAAGAAAAGGAAAGTGATAATTACAGAATAATGGCCATTGGTGTGAATTAAATCAATGTAACTGAGTTAAACTCATTATGGCATTCCTATTGCGCTTCCTGTGCTGGAGGGACCATGAAACGCTCATCACAGATCAGCACCATCTGCGGCCCAACACTCTGCAATCACTAAGAGGATACAAAATGTGCCAGACGTCCCATAAAAATCCACAACTGGAGCATGAAATTTTAAATTTAATATGTTTAAAACAAGGGAAATGGTAATAAAACACCTTCGTTATATGCAGTCATCTGTCCTGCAGAGATTGGGGATGTTAGGTAGATGACTTTGCTATCAATGCCGGAGTGGGTTTCTCCCTCCTGGGTAAGTGCAGTAATTGGAAATAACTGAACTAATAAAGCTAAGCCCAGCCATCCCAGTTCCTCCTCCTTTATTGATGTCCAGGATATGTGCTGGGAGAGTTCTGAGAGGATTCCAGCTCACGCAGCAGCCACCTTCTGAAGCATTCACTGTGCTCCAAAGTGACATGCTACAAAGACTAACACTCACCACTCACGAGATTCTTTGTGCATCACCTGAAGGGACGTCAGCGATGACGTATTGTGCTGAGTGTGAGAGAAAAAGGAGGATCCAGGAAGCTCTATCAGCTTCTGCTTCATCTTAAACCCTCACTGAAGGGAGGGAAAGACTTAAAATACCTTGAAATTGGTCATTCAATTTTAGTTTAATAACGAGATTTTCTGATTAAGGAAATGTAGACAACACTTATTAAAAATGCTAATCAATATCCAGTCAAAATCTACATACAATGTGCAAGCTACTTTTACCTTATGGTCAGGATGCCATGAGGCTAAAATGCTAAAAGAAGTTAGACGTAAGATTTTGCAGGCATTATGTCTACAGAATTATCTGTGTTCAAATTATTCCAAGCCCGCACTGTCAGATGGTGAGAGTTTGAAGTCACATCAGATTTTCCCTCTCTGCAGCCTCTACACAGGTCACCTAATCACTCAAACACCTTGACCAAAGGATATCACAATTGAGGACAGAAAAACGGAGGCAGTAATCTTCAGTATTTTAATGATGCTATACCCTAGTTTTAAATTTCTACACTTAAACTCCTGGGTAAAAGGCATCTTTGGCAGTACTGAAAAGTAGACTCTCTAAACCTAAGCTTTAGGAATGGCATGGCTAATAGCTATCAGTACATGCTTGGAGCAGATGACTGAGTTTGAATCCTTGTTCCCTACCTTATAGACAGTGTGAAACTGAATTTATTGCATAATTTCTCCATGCCTCAGACTCCCCCTCTCGAGAATGGGGATGTGAACAGTACTATTCCCTTAAGGCTGGAAGGTAAAACGGGATAACAGACTTTAAACACTTGAACAACCATGTGAACTCATTCAGTAGTGCTCACCATCATCATTCTAATTATTAGTAATGCAGTGTCCTTATACTTACTATTACTGTTAATACTGCTATGACTTTCCCCCACATAGGCCATGAATAGAGCTGAACATGGCTAAAGCCCTCTATCTCCCAGCTTAGTCACAGGAGATAGGATGAGAAGTGGCCAGACGGGCAATCACAAAGAGTATCCTTTACAATAAACGGCATAGTTCTCCCCACCTCAGGAGAAACATCACAGTCTGATCTGGAAACCTAGTAGGGTACCAAGCAGCAAGGATGGGCTCCTGCAGTGCCACACCTACCCCTTGCTCGTCCAGTTTCATGAGCTGCTCCGTGACTTTGGGTGTGTTGAAGGCCAGACGCAGGCACTGCACGTTGAGCTCGGGGATGGCATGTTCCAGCACTTCTTTCAGAGGCAGTCCTCGGGCTGTTGAGTGCTTGGCTGTGGAGGGAATGGCATCCTCCAGGACAGACCCTCTCAGTGTCATGAGCTGTAAGAGAGATAAGGACTATGATGAGGCTTCACTATATCACGAGATACAGAATATGCCATGGGGTCTGCAAGCCTAGACAGCAGCTCTGTCCCAAGCTAAAACATGGCTGGTGGTTGGTCAAGTCAGTGAGGTTGATGGAGAGAGAAGCAATATAGGATACTCTATGCATGAAAAATGAGGCCAATGCTTCTAAAACCTCCAAACAAATTCAAAAGAACTCATGATATATTTATTATAGTACTGAGTTGTTCACTTAAGTGACTAAAGTAGCCTGCCCTTACAGACATCAATAAGAGCAAGGTCTCTGCATCACTGTATGGTGCCAGGAGCTGAGGCAATACATTGATAACTGGAATAATTACACACATGCTTAGAAAGAAAAGGCAAAAAGAATCTCAGTGCCTCCAATGTGTCCACACGGTTTCTGGTTTCAATGCTTTATAAGTGATTTTATTTTCTCCTTCTTGAAAACTTCAGCTTCATCTTAAAATAATACCCACATACTCCTAAAGAGTTCTAGCAGGTCGAGCAGGATGCTCGGTGGATTAAGGCACGTGCTGCCATGCCTTAGAACTGGAGTTAGGTCTCCAGAACACACATGATGGAAGAACAGAGCCAAGGCATGGCCAGCAGCTGTCCTCTGAACTTCACCTGGCACACACACGCACACAATCAATAATAATGAATTTATGACTGAAAAGTATTTAAAGACTTCGGAAAGCCTGTATCACTCATAAACAGGTCACTTTCTGCCTCTGCAGAGAATATTCAAAGGGGACAGTGAAGGGGGAAGGAGCCTTTTCCTTTCTCCCTGGCTCAGTAAATGTTTACATGGTAACTAGGAAGCTGAGTAAAGTTTTAGGCAATTCTCATCTGTGAGAACTCTGGTTCCTCCAGATGCTGAGTGCTTTTTCGGATGCCCCAAATCTGTGCATCTATATACGGTTCCGGTTTCCTCTGAACCTGTCTGTCTTTCTCTGCATGGAAACTACCACTCATTCACCACTCTCACCACAGGCTAGACCAAAAAGCCAGATGTAGGCAATCCTGCCCCCAGGCATTACCACCAAAAGAACAGGCTTTCTTCTGCAGGAGTGTGAGCATGTGCAGAGGCCACCTCAGGTGTCATTCCTTAGATGATATCTTCTTCTTTTAATGACAAGGTTGCTCAGGAACTTGCCAAGTAGGCAAAGCTAGAAAGCTCCAGGCATCTGCCTACCTCTAACTCCTTCAAAACACATGCCACCTTGCCTGGCTTTTTACATGTGGGTGCCGGTGACTGAACTTAGGTCCTATCAAGCACTTTATCAGCTCAACTATGTCCCCATTCCTGAGTCTTCTTTGTTCTAAGAACACTGTGACCTTATCCTAGAGAATTTAATCCTGGCCTCCGGCTTCTGCTCCACTTTCCCCTGCTGGATTAAGCCTCAAACTTTACTCACTTGCAACTTACCTCGCTTGTTCTAAAAATGATGCGGTAGTTGTAGGGAGATCCATTTTCTTTCATTTCTTCTGGTTTTTCCCTTCGAATGCTCACAGCCACTGGACCAAGATTCTCATCAGCCCCAAAATAGTTCCAGTGTTCTTAGGTAAAATAAGATAAAACAATATCAGAAAATGTATCTAACACTAGAAACCATCATAGTGTTTGGGTTCAGGATCACTTCCCAGGAGTATCAGGAAGATATAAGCATGTTTAATGAACATTATCATCCTTCATTGAGCTACAACCACTAAGGCTACCTAGGGCTTGTTCTGGAGGAGACCTATGGAGAAGGCCTGCTGGGTTCTTACTACTCCATGCTGACAATTCTAAGTTCTTCATGTACTTTCTCCCCATGTCCCACCAATTTAATAGGCTGCAGTTTATATGTATCTTGGTTAGGGCTTTTTGCATTTTATTTAGACATACAGTAGAGTTTAAGGAGAGGGGTTTCTCCTCAGTTAAAGTGATGTCACTTCCCTGGAAAGAAGAGTCACTTGAGCCCTATGCGCCCAGGATTCTTGGTCTTATCAACAATTCCCATGGAATGACACAAACTGTGGTCACATAGCTAGAGGGTACAGTAGACTGGGAGAACAGGCATCTCCTAGCCAACCACTGTGCCCTGTGACTCACGATTCTCAATACTATCAACTGTTCAAGGTCCCAAGCCTTAGCCTGGCCTTGGGGGGTGGGTGTTGGGAAAGTCTCCATCTAACAAGAAGGAAGGCGGAAGTCAAAGCTGAGTTAACTGGGAGGGGTGCGATCAGTGATGCCAGTGCTGCCTAGGGTACATGAGGGCCTAGATCTAATCCTTACTCTGTGAGAATTATTCACAGAAAACAATAAACTGATACTTACTGGCACTTGAATATATTCCTCTAAAAATTAAAACTATACATGAAATGTTCACAGATGAAGAAATCCATACAACACAAAAGTATGTGACGAGCAGAGCATATAACTTAGTTTTCAAACTCCCAAAACATTTGCTTTATAGTGTTCTATGTCATCTACACGTGACATGACTAAATAATTAAGTCATGGCATGGTATATTATTGGCATACAAAATGCATATTCAAACCATGTTATTTCTATACAAAATACATACATATTTGAAAATCCATGAGAATAATAAGAAATAATTTAGCATATCTGGCTGTATGGTTTTAAAATTTAGGTAATGCTCATGAAAATACTTTGCAAATGAATACTAATGTAGAATTATACAAGATAGAATCACAAACACTGAAGGCTCTAAAATATTATAATCCATGGAAATTCAAAGTAAGAAAACACAATGGGAATACAGGCAACAAGCATTTCATACATGGACAACTGAGAAACAATCCAACAGACACCACAAATTCGAACACCCATGTACACCCTCAGAGCACAGCACAGGAGTCACACTCACAGATTATTTACTCTTACTTTGCACACAATTCTAACAAGCTTGTTGTCTGGTCTTCCAGCCCACAGCTCTATTCAGAGAGGTGATAGATAATTCCCGGTGTTGACAAAGTCCAGGGTGCAGGGCATGCAGACAGCAATGTGATAGGACAACTGACAACAAGGAAAAAAACAGGAAGTGGGGAGACAGAAATAGTATAAAAAAGTCGACAAAAACTTAAAGGAAAACAAGACAGCATCGGGACCATTTACTGAAGGAGCAACTAAGGAACCCTCAGAGATTTCAACCCTGCAGTGCAGAACAATAGCGGGCCTGTCAAAGGGGCCTGTGGGCCACACACACTGCACTTCCTTGCTGCTTTCAAAGACTCTAGTTCATACACAGTCCACACGTCTCAGGTGGATTGCTGCTTTCAACTGCTGAAAATTTTCACAAAGACACACCACTGCAGATTCGTCATCAGTTACCTCAGCCTTGAGGCTTTCTCTTTCAGCCTTCCCTGTCAGCTCTCTGCTTCTGCGGGGCAGCTATTGCAACAGTCCCCCCTCACTCCTTCAACCTAGGCAAGCACTAATGCGGGCATCAACAGGAAAGCTAAGGATTCAGAAGCAATCTCACCGCCCAGCACCCTGATGCAGATTTACCTTCAGCCAGACTAGCTTCCTTCTCCCTATTCTAAAGCCTCACCTCCCTCTGTCCTGGCCTCTCCTCACCCTGCACTTCCAGGAACACACATCACCACCCTTTCATCTTGAAGGATTCCTCCCTACCTTCTCTTTCCCAGGACTCCATCTCCCTTTCAACCTTCAAAACTGAACAGTTGTTTCTTCTCTTACTCACTGGAAACTTCTGTGAGTCCTCACCACAGATCCCTGTAGCTCACTTCCACTACATGGCTGCCTCAGAGTGAGAACCACCAGAGATTTTGTTGTTGTTCAAACTCTGGAACATCTAGTACAGATGGCCATTTTATTTTTCTAGAACATTCTTATTAACTAATAATATGAAATCACTTTCTTCTGATTATTCTTCAGCCACTTTCGCTAGTTTTTGCTTCATTTTATTTCTTATTCTTGAATAACCCACCCATTCTGAGATTTTCAACCGCTACTTCTATGTGAACTTCCAACTGGAACTAGACAGCACTCCTAGCTGCCCTTGCTCTGGCATCCGCCTCACTCACCCAGGTGAGCCACAGGTGAGACCAGGCACGCCCCTTAAAATTCATTCCCTTCAGTATCTCAACTGTCTCTCCCATGCTCAATATACTCATGCCTGCATTACTGCTTTCCTCTCCGTTCATAAGGCAGCTAGACACCCCTTTTAAAATGCAATTCTGACCAATCGCCATGAAGCTTACATCCACTCATGGGTTCTCAGAGGTCTTTGATATGTTCATGGCTTCCTAAAAGGTCGTCATGACCTCACCAGCTGGAGCCATTCTAGTCCCGACCTCTCAGATCTGAGTGCCATTTAAACTTGTGCAGTGGTCCAAATTCCTGCAACCATCTTCATTTGACCACATCCTCTTATTTGGTCTCACCTGGGGTGCTCCGAGGTGTCTTCTAAAAGAAGAGCAGAAAACTGGAGTGCACTGGAGGAATTTACAGAGTAAAACTAGTACTTTGAAAGTATTAAGAATTCCCAACAGATTAGTAAAAACCAAGATTACATATATCTCAAATACGAAGGTGTAGAAACATTATAAAACAAAAAGAATACACTTAAACAATCACTTCAGTATCAAGTGGGAGAGAAAAGTATTATTTTAACAACAAACTAAGCCTTATATAAAATAAGCTATAATAAAACTAAAGACTAAAAATGAAAAATACATTTCTTTTTTGGTAGCACCATCAAAACCTGACACATATTTGCATATTTTTTTCCTCCATCTATTTCTAAGATGGGCCAGGGGTAATGGGATAATTGCCAACTAACTTCAAACACTTTCCTTAGACTTTGCTTCAAACACACCCATCTCTGGTCTGATAAGGCCGGAGAGATCTTTTTGAACTTAAGTACCAGCTTGTAAAAACAGACACATAACTTTAAAAATGAAACAAGGAATTCCAGTTATCATTTTCACAGCGGCATCTTAGTCTGTCTCCATCTAAGTCAGCCCTACTGGTACAGACAGAGGTTCCGTTCTGGTTTCCTGTAACTGCCCATTATATCAGGATCAGACTCTGCAAGTTCAAAAGGTCCAAGTATTGCACAATAAAAACCATGCTGGTACACAGTCCCTCGTTTTGCTTATAGAATTATGCAAATAGAAGTAAGCCTCCTGCACACAAACACAAGTTCACTCAATTTAAAATCCTAATGTGATGTATTGTCCCCAGAAGAGAAGACTTTTATTCACTAAAGCCATTGTAAACTGAATTTTAGATTTCAGATTTTGATCTTAAGACAAATGTGTCAGATTCTGCATGGTCAGTCTAGCCTCTGACCATGCCTGGCTCTGCCCATCCATTTCAGCATCCCAGTCTCTGTCCAGGATGCATCAATTATAACAATTAAAATGTCTTCACTGATCAGCCATCTACCTCCATACTAGGCAAGAAGAGATGGGAAGCTTTTCTGCTCAGATGCACAGCTGGCTCTGCCTTGCTTCTGAGGTGGAAGAATGAACGAGGAAGGAAAGCAAGGGAAGACACTGAACAGGGAATTCAGGGTGAGGAAAGAGAGGAAGAAAAGAGGATGGGGAGCTGCACGCCTGAGTGGAAATGTTGCTCATAGATAATGTAACACGGGCACTACACTACCAAATACAGTACCACTGCTGAGTCAGCACAATGACATGCAAAAACCTAACACACCACCACTGTATTTTTGGAGGTATGGCAACTGGGATTTCAGGACAGTCACAAGCATTAAACTGCAGCACTGGAATCGGGTATATCCACTAGTGATATCAAAGCTCATTTTTAAAAATTAATTGTAACTATACTGTATTCCCAGAAGCCTCTAAAACTTTATAAACAGCAAATAGATAAACACATATGGTGGCCAGAGGGATGTGCTAAACTTAAAGCACATACTCCGATTTTCTCCTGATTTGCAAAGGTTTGTGTTGACAGGAGACATATTAGTGCCATCCCATAGTGCTGATTCCTCCCAATATTCACTGCTCATAATGTGCATTCTTACAGATGTTGATCCTGAAGTTTTTTTTGGTTTGTGTATGCATGTGGTGAACATGTGTGGAGGTTTACTCACATGTATGTAGGCATATGTGCTCATGGGTGTGCGTGCATGGAGAGACCCAAGGTTGATGTTGGGTGTCTTCCAAGATGGCGCACCATCTTATATATAGAGGTCATGTCTTTTGATATACTGAGAGTTGGCCTTTTGGCTGTGTAGCCAGCCAGCTTGCTTTGGGGATTCCCTGGCTCCAGTTGGTGGACTGGGATGACAGGACGGCCACCATACCCACTGATGCTTTATATGGCTTCTGGGAGCCAAACTCAGCAGCAGCAGATGCACCAATTATAAAGCCGTGCCTGGAGCCCAAAATTTTCTTATGGAATATGAAGTCTAACAAGATGGCACACAGAACACTTAGGAATTCTACTGTTTCTGGGACAATCCATTATAAAGAGATTTATTTATGGTCACTACATTCACAACTATAATGAGTATTTGACATTCTTAAAGAGAAGAGAGTGGATGAAAACTTCAGT